CGGACACACACACACACAAACACAGACAACCCCGTGACAATATGCGTTTTGTACTGCTGTTACACAACACAAAACGCATAATAACTGAAGCCCAGAAAGCATTTTTTCGACCCTTCAAATCTTTACCGTTTCTACTTTTTTTGGCCATTCCGACTTTTCTGCAGAAATTTCCAAAAAAATTATTGGTCCTTGTATGAAATTTTGCTTTTTGCCGATATTTTGCTTCTTCAGAGCTTAGTGATACCCTCGACGGGAACTCTTTAACGAGGTTTTAGCAGCTCCAGTTGCTTTGACCATTGGTCAGTCTGTTGGCGACCCTGATGTTCGATTCGCCTTCTGAGTAGCTGGACCTTATCAAGGCCTTAATCGTTCAGTAAGCATATTTGTGTGTACTGAGCATCAGCATCTCGTTATCACTGTTGCTAGACGACAGTGAGGTGATTCGCGAGACCAGGAAGTATTCATAATAGCTTAGAATTTACAATCCTCCAAAAACAACCGCAATCAAATTTCCCAAAAGTTACTGCCTACCACACCGGTTTCGCATCGCTATATAAGCATAATTTCACGCATCATTCTCAGTGTTTTATATTGAACAGACAGTGTCTCCCCTCATCCCTTCTCCGATGTCTTACTAACCAAGTTCAAAAAGCAAAGTTAATCTATTTCTGGTAAGCGAAAACTTGGAATGTGCATTTCCTCATACTCCTCAATTCCAGTGTTCTTAAATGAGAATGCCCCGTCCTTCCCTTTCTTTTGTTCCAGAACAAAGATGCGAGAGAACTCTCGTGGTGAGGCGAGTTTTTCGCAGTTGAGGCCGGCCGTTGGTGACTTCCTCTTTTGAGAAATGCTTGAGAAGCAAGCCGAGCTGTCCTGACCCCACAGCATAAGCCAGTTTCGATTTCTCATCGAATGAATTAACGATTCGTAGAGGGACCCCGTCTGATTCATTTGTTAACCATGAAGCAAGAGTAGTGCCAATCAAACTTATATTAAACTGACCAGTAAGATAATTTGGCTGCGTTTGGAGGATAGGCACGAGCATGCATTTTTGCACAGTTCTGTTCAGGAAAATGTTTCTAAACCTGGCACACTTTTGTCCGAGGACGTAGCTCAAAAATTTAATGATACTGGAGTGCTGTTGTTAATTTTCTGACTGGCCCTAGAGCCAAGAAATAAGTTTTCAAATTTCTAAATTCCTTTGTGGCGTAGCTGTGAAGGTCGAAAATGGCTGACGAACACGTAGAAAGGGTCTCTTCATTAACATAAATATGAAAAACACATCAAAAAAACAAACCAAATTGAGTTGGAAACAAGTTAATATTTAGCAAAATCCGGGACATGGACGAGCAATCGGACCAAGAAGACTCACTGCATGCGCTCGAAGCAGACACTGGAGGATCTGTGACTGGAACGAATTCTGTGCTGGAAAGGCTACGGGAAAAACTGGAACGTAGAGAAACAACAATTGAAAATTTACGACAGAAAGTTGATATGATGCAGCGTAGCATGGCTGCACAACGCGAGGAAATCAACCGCTTGAAAAACCTTCAAAACAGTCAGGGCTTGGTAAGAGTACAGTTTCGGAAAAAGCGAGTGATGGATAAGACTGATCGTTTGTTCCGCTGCGAGAGGAATCCCATTTTGCAGTGATAAGACAGGAAGAGAAACGAACCACTTAGTTCCGGATTCTTCGAATCGTGATGTGTCAAACATACCACGTTGCTGCTCTGGTTCTCAGTCTGGGGTCCGCGGCTTTCAAGCTGAGAACCAAATAAGGGATGAAGTGAAAAGAACTGCATCAAATTTTCATCTAATTTTAATGTAAAAATTGGCAAAAAATTAGCGGATAGCATGTAAAAACATCACGAAATAACCATTTGAGCAAGAAAAGCGTTAATTATATCATTTTAAATTCAGTCAGAATCCTAGCAATATGAATACTATAATAGATGTATGTATATTAACAGATTAATTCGTTTCCCAGTTTTGCCAAATTTGAAGATCCTTCATGAGAAAATTGAAGTATTTGAAACAGTCTAACTTTTTAAGTCCTAAGTTAAGTCTCGCTGGGCAATGGCGGCAAAACGTAGTTGAAAAGGAGGCCACGGCGAAAAAAGTTAAGAATCATTGCGCTAACTGACTCACCTGCTTCACAAGGCAGTTGGAGAATTTATGTCTGTTCATATGGGAATATCACACCATTCTGTACTGCCTAATACTGCCACACGCAGCATATACTTCACTAAATTCTTTTCCTTCATATCTTGCCAGCTTTTGAAACTTATCGCATTTCCTGGATTTCTTCGATCCAGTTGCCCAGTTGTATTAGGGATCGATTATATGCATGTATCCCACGATCGTCGGGCCACCGTTTGTTACCGGCTTGACTGATCTGATGGAAGCATATGTACACGAGGGATGATTGCCTTTGACTGAAATTTTTTACAGCAAAATCCGCGAATTTCATTGCCATTTGAGCTGATAAAAATGATCTTCTACCTGTGCGATGCTCGAACACGATGTCGCGTTTGCTGCATCAACAAAAGGTTCTCGTTTCGTAATAATAACAGGGGGCACCAGAACCCCAGGATATCGAATCATCTAGTGTGACGTTTTCATTCCCAAAGTCGGAAACTTTTGAAAACGTCTGTCACCTTCTTATTAGACGCATCAAAACAAGTTTTCTGAAAGCATGCGTATTCAGAGCATCCGAAGAACTGAGTAACTGGATGGATGTGCAGCACCTTTACCTGACCAGAGTGCCCGTCGAAGACTGCGTGGACAAAACAGTAAGTTACCTACCAAGGCCAAAGGCAAAAACACAAAAGCACGAAGCTAGAAACGCAATCGGT